TTGCAACTGGACGCGGAGAGGTTCTTGCACTGTGTACAAGTCGCTTCTAAAGTGGTTTCACTTGCAGCAGTTGGAATTAAACGTAATAGATGTTCAATTGTGTACGATGCGATAAGAAATAGTTTATTTAGGAGCATGAAACAAGGCTGAATTACATAATTACGTAGATCAGAATAAATAGATTGAGATGGAAATAACAATTGTCATATATCGATTTCTTGACTTTTCATTCTGATCAAACGCTTTTTCCTTGCTTTCGACACGTACCGTACAAATTGAGACTGTGTTTCGGAAATCGTGCTATCATAAGAATAAGATCTTCGTATTATTTGCAGGAGATACAATAGAAATTTCAACGATTTACAGACGAAACCGACTTGTTCGAGGAATTTGAACGGACGACTAAAAGCGTCGGACTTGAGAAGGAACGCGACAGTGGTAGACGATGCTTAATCTTTATGCGTTTCAAGTATCGATGCTCCATTAACCGCGCGGCGCGAGATCGCGAATTTATATTCTTTAACAGAGAAACGTTGGCGAAACTCGGACGTAAATTAATGCCCCTCGACGTTTCTCATCTCTCAGAGGGCCTTTTCTCAGCTACGATGTCGCTGGCCCTGGCTCGACCATTTTGTCACGCTATCATTTCGCGGGCTTTCAACGTTCCAACGAATTTACGATCGAGTTATCAATTTTCTTTTTTTCAAACGCGTCGAATTTAGAAGCGCGCGTGGCAGGCTGAAATACGTTCTGGTTTCGTGGTAACTTTTAAATAAAAATAATGCTGGCTTCGGATGGCAGTCCGCCATTAAAAGTACGCGCAGCGGTATTTTTCGCGTAGACGGACAGCTTTGTGGGTCGAATAATGGTGGCATTGTCCTGTGCGAAAATAAATCGTAAATCAACGATGCGATAGAAATACGATTTCAATGACCACACGGAACACACGGTACACATTATGTATATGTTGTTTCATTGTTGTCCTATTGCCAGATGGTTTCGGACGTGTTAATTCAAGCGATGTACGCTAGTTGAGTCACGAAGAACACGTAGCGTATTCAGGGTGTGGGATGACGTAGGATTTAATTTTACATTTCAGCATTTCTACGGGCGTAATATTTATTAGGCTGAAAAGTATCTTTGACAAATGGCTGTCATTTGTTAAGATCGACGAGACGGATCTATCTTTGGCTGGTAACGTATTTAACTCGGTATGCGAAACGAATAACGTCTATCCCTGATATTAGATCGCTAATAGGCTCTCCCGACCAGTGTACGCTGTTAAAGATATTATCGCTTGTAAAGATATTTCGCAAGGAGATAGTCGATTTGTCATTTTATGTAGGTTTATGAGCCAAGTAAACCAACAGCTTCGTGTTCTCGTTAACAACGACTAGAAGATTGAGACTTATCTATCGAGATTGTCGTTCATCGATGGACCCTCTTAAGCGGTCGTTTTCTCACGACGTCGCCTCGTGATCGCTATTATTTTTCAAACTAAACATTTTACGATACAGTGGCAGAAAGAGAGTGGAAGAAGAAAAGAGAAATACGGATTTGGCAAATCGTAAGATGAGCGCGTTTCATCCTTCCAATGAGAGAATTTCCATCCACTAACGCGATGGATATTAAAAGTTGCAAAAAGACAACCAAGCTTCTATTCTGTTCTTGCTATTTTTTTGCAGAAATACAGTATATCTTGTATGACGCCGAGGAGGAAATTCCGCGAGTGCATTCGTATCGACGAAAGAAGAGAGATGGGAATATCGAAATACTTCCGACAGAGGCTTTCACAGAGCAAACTTATTCCTTTTATCATTTTCCTCTTTCTCTTGTTTCTCGCTAATAAGTATAGGGATATCGAGTTTATAAACTTTGACCGGGCATCGTCGATCGGCTGGCAGCAGCTGCAACTTTTAATAAAGCGATCGCAAATCTTGTCGGCCGATCGAACGAGCAGCAAGAGAAAAGTGACCCTCTTGAAACGCGACCCTCTCTCCTTTCTCTATCATCGGCTCCTTCTCACCGTACCACCGTGTCTCATTCTCCCTTCGATTACACCGGCATAAGGGTATTTGTACGAATAGTTTGGCCAACTATTGACTTTGATAATAATGTTAGGGTTTAAGGAGAAAGTTGGAACGACGTGGACCGAGTTAAGCGTCCCGGCTGATCGATAAGGACCTCGTGTTTGTTACGCCTTCTAATTTCTCACCAGCCTCGCTCCACCTATTGCCTATCCTTTTAAATCTGTGTCTCTCTAAATCAACCACCGACACGAGATTATGTTTCCTCTTCGGCTTACGTAATCCTTCTATTATCATCGTACCACCTTGACGTTAAATTAAGCAACTGGGAAAATGAGGTAGGCCCGTCGAAAGATCGATATCCCGGTTGAAAGAGAAGATCGTAACGACTATCGGCTACGTTTTATTCTCTCTGAACCTGCAGGCCCATTGCTTGTTTGCGTGTTTATGCTGTCGTTTTAAGAATCCTGACAAATCGGGGTCGATGTCGATGATTAATGGGGAAAAGCGCCACGGCACAGTCCGACACACTCGTGTGTCGCTTCCTTCGTTCTGGCTTGTGGAATTCGTTCCGTGGAACATGGACAACGAGAGGCGCGCGAGTCAGAGTCGTCGACGTGGCTCTCGTGTTTCCACGTTGCTCGGCTCCCCTAGTTGCAGAGAGCTCTCGTGACGCAAACAGACCGGACCACGATTCCATTGTATCCTGGCATCCCTCCGCCGCACGGGGTCGAAACGAAAAATCTCGTCGGTTGGTGCCGTGGGGAACGAGGGGGGAGGACTTCATTGTCGAGCAATTTATCCTGCATTCAGCCGTACGACCGATACGTTGAATCCTTTTTTGGGCGTGCCCCGGGCCAGATGAGTGTTGTGGAATCGTATTTTATTGCGGCCCTTAATTCGACGCGGTCTCGTTCCCTGTTGTGCAGCCTCGTGATTTCGCTCGATCGAACGCGCTGATGCTCCTGGGTCGTTTTCAATGTTTGGCGCACCGGTCGCTCCATCGTTCGGACGCTGCAGTCTCCATGCAAAACAACGCTTGCACTTTTTCTTCCCTTTATTTCTTTCTTCGACGAATTTTCTGCCAGGATGTTACCTTTTTCTGATGACGATTATATTCAAATTGCGTTAACGTCGAAGAGCGTATGCATATGTTCGACCGGGTATATTCTTCAGGTTCAATTCAACCTTTTAGTCAGGTTTGCGATTGCTGTTATTGCGATCATTTGACAAGCTACGTATCTTCGGCTTTTTTCATTTCTTATTTATAAACCAGACGATCGAGGATGTATCTGCACGGTGACGGCAAGTCTTTCGATACGAACATATGCAAATAGATGCAACAGTTCAGGTAATTTGAATGTGTGCAACAGCTGATCCAAATTGTTAAACTCTCTGCTGACGTTGTACTGTACGTTCCGGTAAAACTCGCACACACCGAGACTGCAAGACGACCGAAGTAGCCAGATTTTACGAATGGTAACGTACATTCAGTCGGTTGGTCGACGAGTCGTCTAATTGTCCCTTTTTCACTGATCGGCAAATTGCAGTTTCCAATGAGAGACGCTACTTTCATCCTCGGATTCCTCCATTGAGTCCATTGAAAAGCATGGAGCAAGGCCGCCGTTTCATTAGGCCGGCCATAACATCTGACAAGCAATCTAAGCAATTAGTCAAGTGGCCGGAGTACGCAATTAAAACCGATTGACCCCGTGAAAAGCCGCAACGTTCGCTTCGCCATTCAGCTCTTCCGCCTCCTCTCCTTCTGTTCCACGTTTCTCGCTGCTCGGTTGCATCGTTCGCGTTGCAACGTCTGTTGCACCACGGAGAGTCGACATCAAGGGCTGGTCGCGTTTCACCGGCAATTCGAGGGTGAAACCTCGTTGAAATCCACGGTGTATCGCGGTGAATTTCGGCCGCTTTGAACTCTCTCGATCCGGCACAATCGAGTGTATTAAAACCGATTCCAGATTGACGAGCTTCATTCACTGATTGCTTTGCTAAGTCCATTGCGCTGGTTCCGCGATTCCGCGTGCATGAGATTGCGTTGCTTTTGCGGGAATTGCGTCTGTCAGATCCTTCGCCTCTCCGTCCATATATTTTTCTTTGATAGGTTTCCTTTGAAGGGACGTTCGAGAGTATGGCTGCTCTGAAGCCTCTTGCGCTTTATAGTTTTTTCTCCAATGTGTGTTTGTTTCGCGAGGAGAAACGACAAAGGGGTTTGCCTCTTACTTATACGTTCGAAGAATTCTTTTGGTTTCCAAGCTTTATAAAATATCTTGCAACTATGTATGGGATACATCGTACCTTGAAAATGCTTTGTAGTTCCATTATGAACAGTCGGATATTGTTTTGAAGATTTTGCAGTGCAGGTGATGGAATGATAGAAGTATACAGTTTTACTGCTTCTCCTACTCTCATTGCTATTAATAATTAGCACGTAGTAATATATATCATTAAGTATCAATGATCCACGTTAGTAATTTCAATATTCAAAAATGAGTATCTAATTAACTTAATTAATAACTTAACAGATGTTAACAATCATACATCGTACATTTCACTGCGTGATGAAAAATCTGAGAACCTACTTATACGAGATATTTCACAATCGAAACGAAAGAAACGGGAAATCTAAATAATCTTCTCTCAAAGAACCCACCCTCGAAAATCGGAAATTAAAAATACGAATATCACCTCTGTAGCACCGGTCGGTTTCGACGTCGATACGACACGATGCACCCTGTTTCTCCGAACCAGTCGATCCAGTCCCCATTATATCTGCTACACTTGTTACTGATCATAAACGAGTGCGAAAGTGAGCATCGAAGATTCCCGGTTTCGCCGTAGTAACTCGGTGCTCGTCGCGCTCTCGTGCACGAGGGTTGGGGCGAACGTTGCGCAGGGGGTTTCTGTGCGCGATGCCACAGCCAACCGACGCTAGTATCTAGGGGGCTGTTTTCTCCCTCTCAGTTGGCCGCGATTCAGCGTCGGGTGTATGTCCCGCTCGTCGCGGTTCGACCGACGCGAAAACACGGCGATTGTCACGAGCAACGTTTCCTACGGATTGTCTTCTTCGTCGAAAATCCCGCTCCCTCCCTTTGCGTATTCTCGTGACAGTAAATCACAGTGCGTCGACGTCTGAATAATCGAATATCGGCGAGTTCGCGTTCTTCTTATTCCAAGAATAAGTGCGGCTCGTTTCGAGTATAATCGTAGAGAAGTGTGCGAGAGTCGAAGGAGACAGTGTTAGCGCAGTTAGTATCTAAGAGGGAAGTGTAAGAGAAACGAGATAGGGGTTTCTATTGGATCAGAGAATCGCAGGACGTTTAGATCGGTGTGATACGTGGTGCCGGATCTACGTATCCTTATACTCGGGTCGTTATCGGATGTTTCAAATTCGTTGGATCGGTGATTTAACTAGATGGATAAGTCACGAATGTCACGGATAATTGGGAGAGTTTGACTGATCCCGAGATAGCCAAGGCAGCCCTCGAGGGATCCCAATCGGTTAGGATCCGACGAGAGCCGATTGGGGTATAAATAAGAAGCAGAACGGGCCAGTTATTTCCATCGTGACGCACAGTCGCGGCTACTGTCTGTGTGTTCCGGGGTATACGCGGTGGCGAAAGATTGATTGCGTTAAAGAGGAACTAGCGCGCGATCGCTTGACTCGTTTGCCAACCCGTTCCGATCCGCTGCTCTCCTAGAGCGCTCGAATGGGAACGTGCATTTCGGCCAGCGAAATAATTTTCAATTTCGGCCGTTCGTTACGCGGATTAACCCCGTCGAACCGGTCAATAATCGTAACGCTGTTCGATTTATTTTTCCTTCGTCTAAATACAGTTCTGCTTGCTGGCGAATCTTTCTTTAAATCCTCTGCATTCTATCGAGTTGTCTAACCAAACCGAGGAAACCGATGAACATCAGCCAGCTTCCTTCGTATCAATCTCAACCTGTCCACGATGAAGTCTCTGCCTATCGTCGTCTATCATCGAGCTCGATAAAATCGAGTTTGCCGAGCTGCCACGGGACCTAAGACAACATGGACGGAACAGGGTCAGGGCTATGGGAATGTTGAACTGGCGGAAGCGGAATATCCCGGTGGAAACTCGAGGCACAGCCGAGCTGCAAGCCCGAGGAGAGGATGAGACGTCTGGAGGAAGAGGCCACATCGAACAATCGATCGCAGCTTCGACGATAATTGCTAAAGCCGATGCAGCAGTCTCCTCCACGGTTGAACGGTCGCTTCTCTACCGGTAATGCATCGTGAAAGGGTTGCACTGCGTGCTCGAACAACGTCGCGGCTGATCGTCTCGAGAATGAAAGGGACGCGCGATTCCTGAGCCGATCGATCACCGATCCTTCGTTTATTCTTCTGTAGAACGTGCAACAGACACGCGATATCTCGAGGGATTTATGTTCTATCAACGAGAAATTCTTAGATGATGTTTCGTTCCAGTGACCTGCGAGGAAATCGTCGAGCGACCATCGACTGAGGCATCGACGAGTTTGTCGAGATTACGTTCGAAAAGGGCAAGGAAGTGGAAAGTGGCCTGCGTTTGAAGATCGGAATGTAGATGTTAATGGAGGATCTTTTAAAGTGATACGAATGATCGTGGGTCGCTGTTAATGATAACGGAGAACGGTTTATCGACGATTTTCTTTTAAATGATATTGACGACAGCTTCGAATGATGGAAGTACGATGGTAGTTTGACGGATCAATGATTAATCGTCGACGAATAAATACGGTGCGTTTGGTCGATTTTATGTAAATAACTGTGCGCTTAATGGCGTCAAATTATTTGCAGCGTTTAATTGATTTATCGAGACATGTTCACTGGAACGAACTGGTTACGGTACCGATAGAACGATATAGATTTGTCTATTTTCTTCGCCAATTTTATTTATCGAGAATCGAAATATCAGAAGGAGTATTATTTTTGCTATTTCCGCAAGATCGCGAAATTCCTTCAGAGTTTTTACATATCCTGGGATATCTGGTACAACGGTAGAGATGCTCGCCACGCTTCAGTCAACATATCAGACGGATTTTTCTCGCAACTGCAACGGACAGGCCCGAATGTACGCGTCTAGCCGTGAAAACGTTCTACCATCGTGCACACACCGCTGAATAAACAAACGTAACTGCATCGTGTCTCTCGAAAATTCCATGAAATTCATTTTTCTTTAAAAAAAAAAAAAAAAAAAAAAAAAACAAAAAGTAGAACGTAGATAAAGAAAAGGAAAAGAAAAGGAGTAAAACTCTTGATAGGAGAAGAAAGATGGTCTGGATGTAATTTAATATAGAGGAGACAAGTTTGGAGGCAGTCGATCTGAAGACACTTTTTTTTAAAAAAAAAAAAAAAAAAAAAAAATAACAAAAAGTAGAACGTAGATAAAGAAAAGGAAAAGAAAAGGAGTAAAACTCTTGATAGGAGAAGAAAGATGGTCTGGATGTAATTTAATATAGAGGAGACAAGTTTGGAGGCAGTCGATCTGAAGACACAGTGGTGCACCCGGTGAAAAACGTGTGTCGAACATGCATCGTTTTTAGTAGGTCAGTACCGAGGGGGAAAGAAAGTTCGTAACTGGCGAACTTGAGGGACGTTGGTGGCGAGTGCATCGACGGAACACGGTGCATAAACATTTTCCGGGCCATCTGCTTGGCAAATGCAAGAACAACGTCCGATCGTAAACGATAAAACTTTTTACACCCGAATCTTCGTGATACGAATCATTGCACGACGATTCTACGCGGAATATTGCGAGAAGAAATATCATTGGGGGAATATTTTCGGGAGGACCGAGAATTGAAAACTAAGAATCGAGAATTTTGAGAATTGAGATGCGAGAGCCGAGAATTGAACCGGAAAAATTAAGAACTGGTAGAAATTTGAGAATCGAGAGAATTGTCAAAAGAGTTGAGAGTTGAGAATTCGGAGTGAAAAGCTGAGAATTGAAAATTAAGAGCTGAGTCTGTATATTGCGAACTGAGAACTGGGAAATGAAAGTTGAGGCCTGAGAATTGAAAACTCGAAGCTGCAAGCTGAGAATCGAAAATTAAGAGCTGAGAATTGTATATTGCGAACTGAGAACCGGGAATTGAAAGTTGAGGCCTGAGAATTGAAAACTCGAAGCTGCAGGCTGAGAATTAAAGATTAAGAACTGAAAACCGTATATTGCGAACTGAGAACTGGGAATTGAAAGTTGAGGCCTGAGAATTGAAAAGTCGAAGCTGCAAGCTGAGAATTGAAAATTAATAGCTGAGAACTGTACATTGCGAACTGAGAACTGGGAATTGAAAGTTGAGGCCTGAGAATCGAAAACTCGAAGCTGCAGGCTGAGAATTAAAGATTAAGAACAGAAAACTGTATATTGCGAACTGACAACTGCGAATTAAAAACTCGAAGCTGCAAACTGAGAATTGAAAATTAAGAACTGAAAACCGTATATTGCGAATCGAGAACTGGGAATTGAAAGTTGAGGCCTGAGAATTGAAAACTCGAAGTTGCAGGCTGAGAATTAAAGATTAAGAACAGAAAACTGTATATTGCGAACTGACAGCTGCGAATTAAAAACTCGAAGCTGCAAGCTGAGAAATGAAAATTAAGAACTGAAAACCGTATATTGCGAATCGAGAACTGGGAATTGAAAGTTGAGGTCTGAGAATTGAAAATTAAGAAACTGGGAACTGAGAGATCCGAGGACTGCGAGTTGAGAGCTGAGAATCGAGAAAATTGGAGAAAAATTGGGAAAAAGATATTCGTAAGGAGTTCAAGTGTGTAGCGTAGAATATCGTATTAGAATATAACATTAGTAGGACATCACTGGTGGAAGTTCCAAAATGAAATGGAATCGTTGTCGCGTGGCTCGCCGTGAACTCTGATGCCGATACGGGGTGGTGCGTCTTATCGAAACCGGGGCGAGGTGATTAATCGTCACTGCGGATACGTTGACGAGTCGATGCAGCCGGACTGCACGATTCGTCGACGTGATTCTCGTCAGCTTCGTGCTTCTTTCGAATCAGTCAACGGCCTGACCCAGACTGCGGGTTGAATGACGTCCACGGAAAGGCAAGAAATCATGGAATTGCGTGGAATCACGAACGAAGATCGATTTCGTGACGACTCTTTTTAGATCTTTAAAGCATTGCACGATTAATACTGTCTTGAACGTTTGAACGAACGAACGATGGTGATTTATCGATGGGATGTATTTTCATTTTTAATGTTTTATCCGGAGTACAGGAATATCGGGTCGATGGGAAAGTAATCTCGGTTTTGTGGATTTTATAGGAAGTAAATTTACAGACAATGATGTTGCTATTCTTTTCCATTGGCCCGTAAGCCTCTTGAAATTGAAAACTAAATTTTCATTTGATTCTATCGTAACAGATTGTAATTGAAGTTTACAGCTGAACGAAAACAAAGCACAAACTGGTATATACGATCCATAGATTTTTAAAAAAGGATATTTCAATTAGAAAATCGTTCGAGCTTCGATACTCTCGTTCAAAATTCTCAATTAGAAGTTGGAGTAAAAAATAGGTCAATAGGCGATTGTTGTAGGAAAATATAAATTCTGATTGAGAAGAATTCCATATAATTCTCTGAGCTTTACGTAACAAACGTACCAGTATCTTAGTTTACCTAAATAATTTTAGACAAAACTATAATAATTTTAGGCAAAGACTAAAGAAAGTTAACGGTTTGAATTTATCGTATTCTACTAATCAAATATGTAAAATTAGAGTTGCTCAGCATGGAGAAACAGATTAGTCGAGGAACCTATTTAGTTGAGGAATTTTCTTCGACATTGTTATCATTACATAGACGCAGGGATTTCCTATTTTGTACGAGAGGATGGAACAGCGTTTATTATACGATTTAACGACCGTATGGGAGGATTATTGGAACGTTGGCGAGAGAGAACCGTAGCCATCTTCCACGTTGTGCAGAGAGGCTTTCGTTTCGCGTTGTACGATCGATCGATGAATTTAATCTGCGCAAACAGCGGATGGTCTAGCGTTATCAATAGCGGCCACTGATCTGCTTCTTCCCCTTATTCGTCGTCCCGTGACGATTGTTTGCATTTTGGATCCTTCGGTGAAAGCGCGGCTTCGGTTATGCTTTCAAGAGATTCCCTGTCAAACTCTCTGGCTGATTTTACATATCGTTGAACGTTCGTTTAATTTACTTTTTACAGTCCTGGCTGTGAAAATAGAGTTACGAAAGAATCGCTCAATAATATTACATCAGCGGAGCTTCTTTAAATCTTCGTAACGTTGTTACGATCAAAAGTATTACGTATTTCGATGACAGAATTCGAATACCTCGATTAACTTGTCCTTATTTAGGAAGCACAGAGGAGAATCGCTTGGACCGTTCGGAACTCGCAGATTCTCCAACTTTCAAGAACTTCCTGCCAAGTCTATTTATGTGGAACACACTACGAGCTAATTTTACTCGATTACATAATTGATTACGATTCACGAGCCTTCGATTGTGTTCTCGTCGCAGTTACGACTGTAAGCCTTGACACGGGCTTCCAGTCGGCACGCGACAGTTAAATTGTTCAACAACAACGTTCTACGCAAACACTGTCGTTTATTAGGTTGTCCGAAAAGTTTCTTTCGTTTCGTAAGGTGATAATAGATGAACAACAATTTCTGTTTTATATTATTTTATTCAATTACGTATGATGTATTTCGTTCTATTTCTATTATTATATTCGTGCATAACTCAATAAACTAATATAAAACGAAAAACGAAAGAATCTTTTCGGACAACCTAATCCATCGATTATTAATCGGAGTTTCGATCGACAGAAATCTGATCAATTGGATTCGATCGTCTTTTTCGAAACATTTGTCAAATTTCCAGATGGATTGTATTTAACAGATTCTAAATTTTCAATCTCTATCTCTGCCGACAAAGTTCCACGATTTTGCTATTTTTAGTAAATTTTTAGTCTATAGAAATTTAATTGATCAGTTATTGAAAATGGAAATGACGACTGTTCCAAGCTTTTCTACTGCCAAATTCCTCGGCATCTCTTTTCCCTTTCGGAAGATTTATTAGATAGATTGAAATCTCTGCGAAGGTTTACTATTTTCCTGTGACTAAAAGTGCACATTGGTCTTCGAAAGTCTAGGAAACCTGCAATGAAAGATGCAGAACTTTTCGATCTTAAAGTTGTTCGTCATCGTCTCTCGTTTTTCAAATAGGCCCGTTCAATTACAGAATGCCGAACTTGGCCACGGAATTCCCAGCGGCGTACAATAATTGAAATTAATCACCGGCGCAGATACAACTGATTTAATGCGCGGCTTAATCTAGGCGCTGACACGTTCAGCGCGCGACTCACGATGAGTTACGGCAATTCACGCGCAAGACAGCATCCATTTACAATGGAGACACTTACAGATTAGCCGTGCACAGGGTGTACCTGTGAGAATTCGCCGCGTTGCACGCTGTCCGCGCGAATTGCTCGCGCGAGACCGTGAAACTTCCTTTCTTCGTCGATTTAATTAAAAATTTCACGGCGATAGAGAAAGAATGCCTATCCAAAGTCATCTGCATAAATGTCTTTGAATTATGATGATCGAATATGCTTATTAATATTAATACTATCCTATAGAAAGTCTGACGCGCTTCACATAATAGAAATACTTTTCACGTTCCACGGAACATTAGATGTTGCTAATTTTCATAATTTATTACTTATTTTCGCGTTTAAAGCAATATTCTTTCACATTTAAATTCGACGAACGTAAAGCAGATAGACAGCGTAGATTACGTGGAACTTCTTGAAAACTTACCGGTGCATCGGTGAATCTGCTAAAATTCTGTTTCACTCGTCGACAAACACATCCGAACACACTCTCGCGCGTTTATCTTCTTTTATTTATTTTTTTTTTAACTCTCTACCCACCCTTATCGTGTCAAAAAACAGGGGAGGAGAAAAATCCTGCAACCTACGATCACAGGAAAAGTGAGGGAGAGAGAGAGAGAGAGAGAGATGGCAGTACGAAATAGCAGTTTGTTGAAGCGGTAGAACATTCGAATAGCAGATTCCACTCCATTTTCCACTGTATTCCGAAGCACAGGTACCTCCATTTACAGATTAAACCACGTCACACCCGGTATAGAGGGTGAAGGGAAAATTGGCTCGTTCTTTCGAGGCTATTCCCTTTAAAAGGGTCTCGGCACGATC